CCAACCCACCCCACTGCGTGTCCTGACAGGGGCACATGACAACATTATCACTGAAATTAGCAAAAATCTTAGGAAAAGCACATGGCCCGATACGCGCGTGTGTGGGCTTAGGGCTCAGTATTTCCAATCTTTTTGATCCGTTTTGCATGGACCGTGAGCCCTTCGGTTGCTTCTACATGCGGCAGGAAAAAGGAAACCGATGAGAACCTCGTGCTCACCATCTAATATAGGGGCCTTAATAATTAGAACGGGGTAGTTATACTATAGTTACAAATAAAAATAAGGAACCCCCCAAATTGTATTGGCAATTGTTGAAGCCCATGTTGTCAAGCTGCTCCTACTAGTTCTACAGCCGCCACCACCACTACTGCAGACCGAAAGTGGGGTCATGATGTGGGCAGATCACAAAAACCACTGTGGGTTTTGTCGGCACATGGTACCGACCTAGATGGATCATAAGCGCCAAGCAAATGCGTCCAATTATGCCGCCACTTTTCAGCTGCAGTTTCGGTTCCATCCTCTGCTCGGATAATGCCGACAGATAAAACTATACAGATAGGTACCAGACATCCAAGACCTTCTTTTGCAGGTTCGCAGAGCAACTTTTTTTGCTCCTGCTGCATTCTGAGCCGCACCGCCTACATCCTTGCAGAATCCTGCGCATTCCATGGCTCCAGCCTTCCGAGAGAAGAATACTCTACCGCGTCACTCTTGCCAGGCAGACGGAAGATGCAGAGGTCCTGACAGACTGAGAAAAACCCCAACCCCTTAAACCCTAAACCCTAAATCCTAGACCCGTGAAAGTCTGCCTTTGAGCTCTTGAGGTCGCTACTCCACGGAAGAGTGCGCCGGCTGTGATCACGAGGCCAAGCGCTGCAAAGGGCGAGATCCTCTGAAAAGGGATGAACCCGCTAGGCACATGGACCCTTCCCTAAACCCCTAAACCCCTAAAGCCCTAAACCCTAAACCCCTAAACCCCTAAACCGCCTAAACCCCTAAACCCCCTAAACCCCCTAAACCCCAAAACCCTAAACCCCAAAACCCCTAAACACTAATGAGCTGAGTCGGTCCAAAGGAGCTCACCGAGGCCACCTCGGGTGAACCAAAAATCGGCCCATGGCGCCGGTGGGCGGGGTGAGGATATGCTGTATACTGGGTTTAGGCGGTTCAGGGGTCTAAGGGTTTAGGGGTGTAGGGTTTAGGGGTTTAGGGTTTAGCGTTTTGGGGTTTAGGGGTTTAGGGGTTTAGGGTTTTGGGGTTTAGGGTTTAGGGTTCTAGCTTGTTAGGGGATTTTATTTAAGTTACCATAATGGGGGTCAATGGTAAATAAGATGGTTTCTTTATGATGGCAACTTAAATTAAATCCCCTAACAAGAACCCAGTATAGGAACCCCCCTTAAGGGATCTACTCCCCCAACCCTTATAATTCCTTATAGATCCTCTCTAATCCCTTTGTAGTTAGATCGCTTTTTGAACTGCCAAGCTTCCGATTCGTTCTGCACCGAGGGAAGTGAAGAAGGTGCCCGCTGCAGCATCGGAGCCATCCGTCATGGCCTTGGAAAAACAAAACCCTGACTCAGCCGCCTTGCATCTTCCACTTTGCTTCATGCCTTTTTTCTGGAGGAGGGCTGCCGGGACCCCGAAGAACGGGCTGCCTCCGAGCGACCCATGCAGCGAAGTCGCCCGAGCCTGAGATGTAAAGAAGACTGCAAGCAAGAACGTGGAGTCTCGAAGCCTCGGCGCCTCTACGTGAACCAGCTGTGAAATCCAAGTGCAACTTGGTGGCCAGGCACATCTTGGGGCAACCTGTGCTGCAATTCCTCCACCAGAGCTGTTCCTACACCTTTGCGGCGCTCCGCCGCATTGACCTGGAAACGCACGGCAGATGATGGCGACGGACGGTTGTCCAGTGGACTATGGGACTGGCATCAAGACTAACATCCATCTACGGTCGAGCTGAAGTTCGCCCGAAGCCAAGCCGCCAGTACGGTGTTGACTACCTGTCGTGGCTGCACATGCCATGAGCTCATGGCCTGCAGGCGCTGCAGCCGAGACGCAAAGTCACATCTCAGTACAAAGAAGCCGCCGATGGCCAGACGGCCCAGCTGTGCACAGCCAATGACCTCCTTCAGCTCTCAGCGTTACGATCACAAGATGCCAACCGCTTGCCAACCCTGGCAGTGCTTGACGGTCTAGCTGCCTTGCGAGAATTTCAACTGGCGTCCTTCCCAGCTTCTGCGATGACGTAGGATGCATAGCCCTGCCCAATCCTGAACTGCAATCTCGCAAGGTGCGAACCCTGCCTAGGGCCTACGAAAGTCACGCGACAGACCTCACACCGAAACAGAGCAAGCAGCACGGGCTGCAAGGCCACCATCAGCTCAGAGACGCCCCCTGGACATCAACTCAAGGAAGCTTTCTCGGCTTCTTCCGTGCTCAAAAAACACCCGCTCGCGGTGCAGGCAAGGCGCCAACTTCTCGCTGAAGTCGATAGACGGCTCTCATGTCTTCAGTGTCCTCTCTTGCACAAGAGCTGCCCTGTCAATCGGTGGCGCCTGCTGACTGCTGCTGAGTACTGCCCCCCGAATCCCTGCGATACCTGGCCCGGCTTCAGAAGGCGCACCTAGTGGCACTCGCCCAAAAGGGATACGTCCACAGCCGGAAGGCAACCGAATCCAATTTCAGCCGAGAGGACTCTCCATTCTTTGTGGAGATTAGATTCCTTCGGCTGGTCTGGCAGCGAAGCGGCACGAATTCGACCGCCTGCTCAGGCAGCAACTGGAGTTCACAGCGTGGAGCACCAAAGCGGCCTCCGATGCAGCGGCTCGAGGAGGCTCTCGAGGCGACGCTCCTGACTCGGCACAGAGATCCGCAGATCTCATACTTCGAGCGAGCCGACGCGGCGTCTCCAGGAGGTCTCGCAGCTCCAGCTGGGCCATGCCAGAAGCGAGAAGCCGAGCGATAGTCGCACCAGGGCTCGCCTGGAAACGATCTTGCTATCAGGATCTCGTGGCCACAATGATGCAGGGACCCCCACTGCACCATTGCTTGCAAACAGGCAAAGTCGAGCGGTGGTGTGCAACCCAGTGCCCGGAAAGGATCGTGCCCTGGCACCTCGATGTTGGAGAGATCTCACGGGACCATGTGCCTTTCCTTCCTCCCATGGCACCCAACCATCCGATGGCAGCCCCCTAGCTTGGAAGGTCCACTATGCAATTCATGCTTATGAAACCTCTGCACGGATGCGAAAGAGCCCTGCATTCCCGCATTCGACTGTGCTTGCTTGAGCATGAAGCAGCTGGAAGAACGATTGCTCGTGCGTGTCCCTGGCATTGGCTATTCGGTCTTCCGGTGTCACGGAAACTTCGATACTGGAGGCGAAGGCTGCGGCTCTTACTATGTGTGCCACACTCTTGCTACCACTTTTTGATCAATCCCCAGGCCTTCCCTCAATAAGAAAGTTTCAAAACGCTTCAGGGTTTAGGATACCGGAAAGTTGCAGACAAGCGGCGGGACATCGAAATCGAATGGCGCTTCGATGCTGGCAGCGTGGCCAAAGGCGAAGGCGCCTTACGAGATGTTGGTGGGTTTAGGTAAAGTTTAAGGTTTGGGGTTTCGGGCTTAGGCATCGAGACACATCAAATATGGAGTCGAAATCATGAGAATGGGGTTGTGGGGTTATTCTGTGTAGTATAGTTAGATTAGGAGCTCTGAGAAATCATAGTATGATGTACCGATTGTTCGGACCCATAGAAGACCCGTTCCGGGTGATCGATGGGGTGGTCTTCCAGACAAGGAAGCCTGAAGGTAAGCCTGATTTGGGACAGCCTTTAACAACTCCTAGGTCTGTCTCGGTATACCTGGTTCCTTGCTTTGGAGGCTTGGCTTCCCATCTTTGAGACAAGGTGAAGGCCGCTGCTTCTGCTTTTCCGTGCCGGCTCTTCGGCTTGGAACACGAGGAGTGATGGATCTTCCGGAAGGGCCCAGGGAGCTGCCGTTCAAGGAGGCCATTTTTGCGGCGATGAGGGCTTCCTCATGGTCTTGACATGCGGCCCGGATCCTGTGAATTCTTTGACATTGCAAATGGCCCACTGTACCATCTAGTGGGCTTGAGGTCGAAACCCTAAACCCTCAACCCTAATCCTCAAAGAAGCAGAGTCTGCAGGCAAGGTTCAGCACCGCTTTGCGCGCAGCCCTTAGCATCGACCCGGCTGCAAAGCTATTGTAGGGGCCTTAGACTAAGGTCTTGGGGTATAGTATGCTATAACTTACTATAGTAAGGAGCCCCGAAATAATAGAATAGCATTGGTAACTGTTTAATTATTAGGTCCCGATCTTAGCTTAAGAGTCATCATGGAATCGACCCAGCCCCTGCAACTGTGGTCTTACGTAAGGTGTGATGGGGCGCAAGCATGGGAGTGAAAAGGATCGTCGGATAAAGAGGGCCTGATACAGTGATCCTCCATCAGCATCCGGTCAGGCAAGTTAGAGAGGCATGCTTGAACAGCACCGGCAGCAGCAGGAATAGCAACTAGTGGTGGGCGTCGTAGTGTTGATCGCGGTCGTAACTAGTGGGGCAGTGATACTGGTAGTACCAGTATACTAGTACTAGTTGGGGGACGGGTCCGCCGTAGGCGTAGATGTGGCTCATGGGATAGAAATCGTCTCCGGGAGTGGTTGCGGTGTTGGTGGTGGAGGTAGCAGCCAAGGTACAGATGCTGCAGCAAGAAGTTCAGTTCTGCTCGTGGGTGCAATGGCGAGAGCCCGAATGGCAGCATTAGCTGTCATTGGTATACCACTTGCGTGAGTAGTCGTGGTGGTGGTCGTGGCCGTTCCAATTCCCATGTTACCAGTGGATTTCACGTCGAAGCAGCAAAGGCACGAGGATCAAGCCTTAAAGCACGCAGATGCCCTGAACAAGCATTTGCACTTCTCCTGAGTAGCCAGCCATGGTCGCCGTAGCCAAAGCATGCTGCTCCTTGCATCTTGCATTCTCAGACTTGCACTATGTGCAACCCGAAAATTCGTGATTCGGCTCACCAAGGAGTTCGCAATTCCAGGACATGGTTAAGTCCCTCACGACTCTTTGCAAGCATCAAAGCCCGAAAGCAGAAAGAGAGAAAGAGAGAGAGAGAGAGAGAGAGAGAGAGGGAGAGAGAGGGAGAGAGAGAGAAAGAGTCAAAGAGAGGTAGAAGAGGGAAATAGAGGGAGAGAGACAGAGAGAGAGGGAGAATAGACATCGCTCTGCGCTGCTTCATGCTTCCTGGGTCCTAAGTATATTCGCAGCACAAACACCGATGGTCCAGTGTCAGGATACCCGAAGCCTAACAACCTACATCTGCAAGGTTCCTTAACTATTGTACTATCTTGTTATACTACCTCAGCGCAAGCAGATGTCGGCCGCTTCGAGTAGGGCTTGCAAGTTGAAGCAAGGGCTCCTTGAGGGTTGCGAGCGTCTCCTGGGCAACCTGGACGAGACGCTCCTGGACAGAGCACTGCCGGCGAAGAAGGACTGATGTCCCATGGTTTAGGGTTTCGGGTTTAGGGTTTAAGGCTTTCGGCTGGTAGGGTTGAAAGATCTGTTGCCTCCTGCGTGGCTAAGACGAAAGCCCGTGCAGTGCAGCAGTGGCTCATTACAAAGTACAGAGCAAGGAGTTTATGCTCAGGGCCACGCTACGGCTAGTGCTTTGAACCCCAAAAGACTACAGCCCTAAGAGTCCATGTGCCCGTGTAGTAGTACTATATAGGGACTACTTTAAAGCCAAAGTGTATAGTCTATGGGCACATGGACCCTCTGAGTAAGGCTTTTGGGATACCTTGTGCCCCAGCCCAGCACGTTTCTGGGCTAGTACGTACTGTGAAGGCCTTTAGGAATAGATATATGGGACGTTAGGTGTTTGCTATATTAACACGGTATATTCATGGGGCCTACAAGGGTCATATTTGCAGACCCTCACAATTTCAGGAACAGGTGCTAAGGGCTACTGCAGGAAAAACGCCTGGGGACGAGGCTTGTGCCTTGAGTACCTACATAGTAGAATGCAGGGTGTCTATAATAGGAATCATTTCTTTGTTTTGGGAAGGAATCCAGCACAACAGTACCCCTATAGATCCCTTAAAGCCTGAAGGAACCCTGAAGTATTACTAAACCCTAAACCCTAAACCCTTTCTGAACGAGGTCTCTGTGAACTGCCTCCAGCAACCCTATACCCTAAACCCCAACCCGAAACACTAAACCCTAAAACCCTAAAACCCTAAAACCCCCAAAACCCCAACCCTAAACACTAAACCCTAAAACCCTGAACCCCCAAACCCTAAAACCTAAACTTTACCCCATAACTTGACCTAGGACCCTTGAGCCTGGCTGGCATTTGTTGGGCAAGCTCCTAAGTGCGCGTCTCAGCCCAGCCGGTGTGAGCAGTGGTAAAGGCCGCTCCGACCGAGCACTCTCCCTAAACCCTAAACATCCCTAAACCCTAAACCCGAAACCCTAAACCCGGAACCCTAAACCCTAAACGCTAAACCCTAAACCGCATCTTCACTGGCTGCAGCGGTCGCGCCCAGGCTGCTCTCTGCCCCTACTTCTCAAGTAGGCGGCCCTTTTTCTGCGTCACCAGAGCGCCTGGTGATTGCAACTTTCTTGTCCAGGATTGGTATGGTTCATTTCCGATGGGTTTAGGGGTTTCGGGGTTTAGGGTTTTGGGGTTTTGGGGTTTAGGGTTCCGGCGCACAGGGAATCCTAAACCCGGTGCTCCCCAAAAATCCTAAAACCCCCCAACCGTTCAGACCCCCGAAAGCGCTGGCAGCTGCAGCGCACATAAACACCCAGACCTTCAAACCCTGTCAAGCTATCCCCTGTGATACGTACATCTCTAAATTAACTACATTACTAAAACCCCGGACCCTGCAAGTGCAGCCCAAGAGCCTGTTCGACGGCTGCCTGCTCGGAAGCCTCTCAGGTGCTCAAATGATTTGGTTTGTAGGGCTTCATTTTTGAAGCTTAGGGGTCTTGGGATCTAGGGGCTTTAGGTCTGAGGTTTCTGTGGCTTCACATTTCGGGCTGCGTTTCGGGTTTACGGCCAGTTGAGGGTGCATGGGTGTTGGCTTATTGATGGGATTGACCCTGAACCCTGTAAACCTATATGGAAAAAGACTGCCCTGCAGCTTGCGATTCGCATTTTTAATAATGATTAGCCGTCCGAATTTTAGGGCCTAGGGCCAAAAGTTGAGGGTTTAGCCTAAACCCTTGGGTATGCTATGGGATGATTCGATGGGAACTTCGGTACAGTGTTACGACTAATGATTCCGGACCCTCTAGTATATCCGTATAAAAGCTCACACCCCGAAGCCCCAAGTGATCGGGCCCTTCATACACTGCCGTAACAGCAAGGAAGTTGATTGAAGTTGTGCAACCCGTCAGCCCTTAGCTTTGAAGCCGGAGCCTCTAGCCCTAACTCCAATCGAACCATTGCCCTCGAGCCCTCCAAAAACGGAAGTTTACCCTGCGCCGCCTGCAACGTTGAGTGGCAATCGATCCATTCATTCTGCAAGGCCAGCTGTTCTGTTTTCATGCCTTCCGTGCGGCTGGGATCCCTGAATGACCGAACGCTAGAAGGACATTGTGCTGAGATTTGCTTTCTGCTACGGCCTTATTCAATGCCTAATGCCCTAAAACACTATGCCCTCTACCGTCAACCCGGCAAATGACGCCTCTAAGGCCACTTCCCTGGTCTTTGGGGTTTGTCGTCAGGTCTGGACTGAACAGAGCGACATTTCCCGACAGGTCCGAACGTCATAATGCGAAGCAGGGTTTCCGTATTATGAATCAGTGCAGTTTGCCTGCGTAAGTATCACCTCCATAAAGTTTGCTGTTCGTCGGACATCGAGTTGTTGCAGAGCATGCTTTCAGTCACACGAAATCGCGCTACTTCCATCTGCTTGCTCTGCATCCAGAATTCTGGTAGTTCAGATTCGTCAACAC